CTAGATCAAGACCTCAGGGCAGCTCACCACTCCCCTAGGGAGAGAACTGGGATTCGCCAGGCATTGCACTTCTCCCACTTCTACACCAGATGTTGCCTAGGTCTGGGGGAGCTTAAGTGTTCTGACAATTTATTCCTGCCTGTAGAAAACTGGGCCACTGTGTACAAAACACACCTCTGCCAGCTGTGATTTTACTTTTCCTCACCTTCAACCAGTACACATGTGGATGTTATATGGAGGGATGTAACACAGCACTCCTTGGATCAAACCTTGCAAAGCAGGGTTGCAAAGTAGTGAGGCAGCTGTGCTGAAGCATCATTAAAGATGTTTCTGACAGCACGTTGTCACACATGTCCCAGCAGGTGAAGGAGGGAGGAGATGCTCCACAAAGAGTTTTGGCAACAAATGTCACTGTAAGTCAAAAGTATGTGAAAAAGGAAGAATATGTGAGAATTTTTTTCCTGTCATCCCTGATGCTACTTCTCTTACTTTCTCTCATGCTTGCCTACGATCCATAAGGCCACTTTAGTGATCAGTCCTGGCCATCAACAAATCCTCAAACAGGGTGCTGTGCACTATTTGCGTACCAACAGCTAGGAGCTCTATAGCCTTTGCTGCATGCTCTGGGTCCATCACTGACTCCAAAGGGCTCTGGAAGCTACTGGACTAGGGCATCCCACTCTTTGCACTTCTATTTAACAATTACCAGCAGCTAACAGCACTGGATCTCACAGACCAGGTACTCAACAGTCCGTACACTGCTCAAAGCAGTGGCACATTTCAGGTGAATGAGGAACAAAATTGGTCTAATCTTGTTGCAACCTCTTACATGTAAACCAAGGCTGGGCAAGAGCCTCCTGAAGGCTCCTTTCCCTGATGCTCGCTCCAAGCAGGGGAGCAGGGAAAAGGAGAATATTAGTCTCCTGTACATCTTAATTAATTGCTTCTGTGCTTAACAAAATGTAGTATACCAAACCCTCATAGACGTTTGGTGACAAATGTCAGACTGTAATGATACCTCTTATAACACAATAAAGAACCATCTAGAAAGCTGCCTGCATTATTTGGAAGAGGGGCTCAGATTTGATAAGTGGCTAAAAATTAGTTTAATGATTCCCTATTTAGCCTTCAAATTTAATCATAATGTGACACTGTGTTTCTAATTAGGAACTGAAAATGTTGATTTAACATTTCTGTTGTTACAGATTAGACACCATGTGCTCTCTGTATTATTAAAAAGTTCATATTTTGAACATAAAAAAGAATTTGCAGAGTCAGGCACAGGGTTTAAGTTTTTATAATGAGCCATTCATCTTCAGGTCAGGTTTCATAATAACTAACTGCTATAAGTTAGTTCAGTGTGAGGAAAACTAAACAGAAAAAAATGGAAATGTGAAATTGAAAGTGTCACATTTGCACAGACTGAAGCATAATAGTATTTAAAATGTTCAAACTGTTTGTGACATCTCATTTCTACCACTGCCATCACAATTTCTTTGAACGTACACTGCATACTGGGCAGTCAGCAAGTATCTACTAGCAAGGCATCTGACATGACAATCAAGGCTCAGCATTTTTTTCTTAAGAGCAAGTATCTCAAAACTTTTAATCACAGGACCACATTCCATGGAAGACAGCAGGGCATGCAGCACATTCTGGGATGTGATAATATTTACTGACCATCTCTTTTCCTACTCATGATCACTAACATGTGTGCTGGTAGATTGTTTTCACATGGAAAAATGTTATCAGGAAAGCTGGAAACATTTTTAGCTGTCCTGCATAAACCTTTAGCAACTGCAGCAAGGTGTCACACAGCTAATCAATGCTTAAAAGCTGTGAAAATAGGGCCCATTCTAACCCAGGCAACCCAGCACAGGACTTGGTGTCTGGGGTAGCTCTTCTAAAAAGCACTTCCTTTAGTCTGAGAAGCATGGCAGAAGGAAAAGAAAAACACCTTCGGTGTGCCTTAAGATTCACAGGGGCTTTTCAGACTGAATGGCTACAATCAATCATCTCTGCATTCCCAGCAGGAAATTAGATTTCCTGTTGTTTAACACTACAATGTTTGACATAAGTCTATGCATTTGTAGTTCCAGTAGTGCTACATTAAAAATCTATGCTGTGGACAAAGAGGGGAAGAAATACATGTTTTCATCAAATGTGGCAAAGACAACATCTTTTCAGACACACCTCTCTGCTTTTGACTGATTTTTAATTTAAAATTGTGTTTTAATCAGCAAAGCAAGTATATGAAAGGACAAGGAAAGCACACTTACAGGGCAAAAAATTATTTTCTCTTCCTCCTGTAAAAAGATTTATTCTTATATTCATGCCAGTCTTGTCTGCAGGAAGGACAGTTTCTATCTCTGTCACAGGTTGCCAACCTGTGCCTGACAGGACTGAAAATCTTCAGAGCTGCTTGTTTAAGCAATAAATTTGAGACATCTCGTTCCTGATGGTGTTTATTTGGTTTCTTCTGAGCTTATTGCTTGTTTTTCCCCATTTTTAGCCTTTCTTTCTCTAGCTGATAGGATAAAGTAGTGACCCATTGTCTCGGTCAGAACAGCCCCTCAGTTTCCCCATAGAGCAGAGACAGAGACTCCACAGGAAGCTGGACATTATGTCAGTGACAGATCCCCGCGAAGCACTGCAAGGCTCAGCCACCTTCCCACACAGGTGTCTGCCATAGCTGCAGCTGGGAAGGCCCTGTACCAAGCTTTACTAGTGGTTTTATTATGGATTTCCTCTGTCCTCATCTTTCAACCAGTCAGATTCCTCCTGCAAGAAAGGCCCATTTAAGTCAAAAGGAAAACTACTACTTACATTAGATTAAGCACCCAGGGATCATCTGACTGTATTTTGGGGGCTAAGCTGGTAGTGCAGAAAGTAGTGAGTGCATATAAGGGAACTGTATGTCCTGTCTGGAGAAGAAACTGTGAGCAGGGGCTACAGGTAAGCAAGGGTTATAGAGGTCCTGGATACCACTGCATGCTTTTCCCATGTCCCTGGTGGAAAGGCCAGTGCTCAGGAGCTCTGGAAAACAACAACTCACAGTGTGGCACACTCAAACCTTCCCAAGATTTCCATGGAAATGGGATAAGTCTTACACAACACCCAGCATTACAATTAGACTTCTGACCGTTTGTAGAGAGAGCACAAAGTTAATCCCAAAGTCTGAGTCACATACACCATGTAGCTGCATGGCTGGGAGCATGAAATTCAGCACTGGGCGAAGTGGCAAGCACTGAGCAGGGGGCAACCATCACTAGACAGGTATCTGGTGATATGTGGGTTGCCCGGAGGAGTGTGAGACGGGCAGAGGCCTCGTGGTCCCAGTCCCCCATTCTCTTTGCCCTGAACAAAAGGAGCCACTACCTCCCCCCATGCAGGTGTAAATTGACAGACTTTGTGGCATTAACATAAGCGATTAAGATTGTCTATAGTCATCCTCACCCGCAGGTATGCCAGGGTGATTAATGTAAAAATTCGAGTATGAATATCATCCCAATTTCGGCCCAAAAATCAGGACAGGATCAACTCAGAACCATACCGATGACCGGACGGATTGACGAATTCGCTCCTTCTCCATCCCCCCTACTTGGGACACCATGTGGGTAATACTATTTACCTCAGCTGACGCTGAGAGATATACTTTTCTTCACTGGGTGTATTTCACATTTTCTCCTCAGGTGCATTTCTGTGCTTCCCTGAGTGTATCCTTGATTCTTGTTTGTCACGACTTCACTGTCTCTTGTTCCACTGTATCCCTGTTACACAGGCTTGTCTATTTGCCAAGTGGCCAGGCCTACAGCAGGCAAGCTGTTATTGTTGTTGATGTGTACGTGTGCGGATAGGGTGTGTTGTTGTTATTATATTAGTGATAAACCTTGCATTATACCTGTAGCTTTTAATTTATCACCGGCAATCCAAAAGAACCTGTAAATGTCACTGTAAATAAATGATTACTGTTTGTCTCCCGATTTGCGTCTCTCGCATATTCTGTGCCCGCCGATTGAAGACCGGATTGACTTCCCCGTTTTCACAACACCGTTTTTAGTGCTTGTCTTGTGGAAGAGCATAAATTGCCTCATAGTCTGGGCCAAAGAGTGAGTACTGCATCCAAGATACATCAGACAGGTGTCTCTGATGATGGTCGGTCACAGGCAGTTATCTCCTTTTCACCATCTAAATTTGATGGAAACTTTCATCTTCCTTGGAAAGCCAGAGCTGACCCCCTTGCCAGGAAAATCATCCCAGCCTTATAAGCACCAGTTGAACATTCATTGATTTGGATAATGATTTTGGTCAGTCTAGCAGTGTTAGGGTAGGTAAGCACCACGAAAAAGCAATTTGTACAGAGTAAAATAATAAGCTAATTAAAAAACCCCAAAACTATCCACAACAAAGATGTGGAGTCATACTCCATTGTGGAAACAACTACTCCTGTAACTTCACTGCTAGTCAATTCACAGCCTTTGTGCTGGCCAAGCTCCTTCATCACACATAAAGTATAGGCATGCCTCATCTAAATTTTATGTTTCACTTGAACTGAAATCAGAGCTGAGTGTTTCTTCCTAAGCCTATGAACCTTTAGACCGTCATTAGACTGAACTGGTCCAGACATTTCCTTAAACAAGGTCTAGTGCTTGTGCAGCAGCAAGATGCATACAGGTCTGAGGAAAAATGGGAAGATGAACAATCACCTGCTGCTGACCTACACCTGCAGGTACACCAAATACCACAGGACTAGCTGGCAAATCAGCATCTACAGTATCTACTGGCAACACAGCATCTACTTGTTCTTGGGTGCTTGTACCTAAGATCTGGCTAACTCATGCAGGACTGTTTTCAGGGGGACTTGATGGCACTAAGGATGAAGATAGATATTCAAGTAAGAAAGCATTCTTCTTTACAAACAAAATGGACAACAAATTATCTAATTCCTGCAGGGCACAGCTGCCTTCTGTGTAGGCTTGACAACTGAATTCTGCACTCACCTCAACAAAGATGAAGCAGGGGATGATGGAATAACTTCTCTGGGTATTGTTTCCTAAAGCCATTTCTCTTCACACTTCTTCGGGAGGCACTGCTCAAAACTTTTTTATCCTGAAAAGAAGAGACAAAGGTATTTCAATATGTTTCACTTTTTTGCGAACTCCACATATAACACAACGAAGTTTGTAACATGGAGCACTGACATATTGGATCAGAGATACAGACCAAAAAGAACATTAAGGTCTAACTTGTGATGGTACAAAATAATTGAGAAGGCACTCCATTTGCAGCACAAAAGCAAGAGACAGACACAAGTTACAAGATACATCATCTACAGAGCAAAGAGCGATGAGGAATACAACTGTTTTCCTTAATTCCAATCCACTCCCAAGCAAAAGTTTCTTCCTCGTGACTGTAAAATCACATTTTCAGCCCACTGTCCTGACTGCAGTGTGTTTTAAATCAAGAGGTTTTGGTAATTGACTTGTGAACTTGTACTTTAAAAGGCACACTTATAGTACATTAATTGAACACATGATCACAATGTTTATCTGCAGAAGTGTGACCTGCTTAAGGTGACAGCATGTTTCATGCACAAGAAGATCCCTAACAAGCAAATACAACAAAAACGTAACAAAGGACTGGACCCTTGTTGCAGAGCCTTTGTAGCCTGATATAAATTTGTACATTAACCCATGAAACCCTACTACTTTTGGCATTGCTTCAGGCTACTGGCTATTCTAATTAACATAACCTTATAATGCTCAGTGCGAAAACACTTAATCTCTTTACAGCACAAAAAAAGTAGGAAAGGAGAGAACAAAAGACCGAGAATTTTTACTGAGAGTGTTTGTGCTTTTCTGCATGCATGAGGCAACATATCAAGAAGCTAAGTCTGTCTTAAATGAATTTAGAGAGAGGAACAGGGAAGGGGGGGGCTGGAAAAGCAGCATGTAGCTCAGAAGTGCCAGGTGCATGCTTCAACAGAGCATGAGACACGGAAGAATACAGAAATCCTTTGCTATCAATTTTAACATGTGCACATCAAGCAAAAGCACAGATCTAGGTGGGCCCAACCTCACTTTCAACACTCACACAGAAACCCTGCCCTGATCATAAGTGTCTCCACAGGCGAGGGGCAGGGGGAGGAAGAAGGTGAAAGGTGGTGTATTTTCCAGATGATCCTTCCACAACGTCTTCCCCCAGCTCTTTGACCTCTCTGGCAACTGAGTTGCAATTCAAGCCTTGGCATATGGAGCCTGTGAGGTTCATGAAGGGGTCAGTGCCTTCTCACCAGCTCTCACCAAGGTTACTGGAAGAAATACTATTATCAGAGCATTGAGTTCAGCAGAGGTTATGAAGCCTGATTGAGCAGCTGGATCAGCTGCCAGTGCTTGTCACCTGCACCATACAGCAGGCTCTTGTCTTGCCCTCTATGAACCACTCGATGTACTTCTTAACTCAGCTCTTCACAGTTTGACCCAGAGCTGTAAAATGTATATGACAGTTTTGATAACAGGTTCTAGGCACAGCACAGCTATAGTGACTCCAGTGAAGCTACATCCTGTGTCAGAACGGCTTCTGAACCATTAAGCATTGAAAAACAGAGTCCCAGGTCAGACAAAATACTCAGGAAATGTTACCCGTGACACACCTCAGTTACTCCTATCCTACATTGTATCCCAGTTCTGAAACACAGATATTCTGGAATTTCAAAATGTCTGTTTTTCCAAATATATTTCAAGATAAAATGGGTTTTATCTCAGGGGTTAGTGTCATTGTTTAAAAAAAAGGACAAGGTAATTCGACCCCATTTGGGCTGTGGAAAAAAATTCCCACTATTGATTTTTTAATAACACTTTTCATACCACCAGCTCTTGTGCTGTGTGGTTCTTCCTGTAACTTGGCAAACACATGGTGCCCTGTAGAACAGTAGGTTAAAGAGTCAGAGAAGCTTATAGAGCATTATTCCACAAAACTCTTTTCGTATCCTGGAGATACACTGTCAACACCTTTTTTGCAAATCCTATTTTTCAAATGGCTTAGTGCAAAGATGTTAATACCTCAGCACCTTCATGAATGCTTTGCCAGATCAAACTAACTTAGAAATAACCAAGATCTTCCACAACACTGTCTGATAACTTCAAGCCATGCCTTCAGTTCCAGCTGCTGTGACTGCTGTTTATAACCAAAGCAGAGGGCTGCAAGGCAACCCAAGAATTTAAGAAACATTCTCAACACATGACTGAAAGCAACTGCATAGAGTAGCAAAGAAGCTGAGGGTTCTTAGTAGTCACATAAAACAGCCTAGTTTTTATAAATTTTTTTATTTATAAAACTGCTAAGGGATTCCTGATGTCATAAATATGTATCACTATGTCTGTTCTTTTAAGCTTATTGTGCACCACTGGTCTAAAACACTGCATTGCCTATGGGAAAGCATTTTACATGTCAGCTCCTCTCCTATGTGACACATTTGTGTCAGACATAAGTACTATGAGACCGCATAGTTGCCTGATTAGGCCAGCTAATTCCCAGATTGTGGGAAAACTCTCAGCTAGCCTGTGCTTGTCATAGCGGGTCTTTTCATCAGCTCACTCACAGAAAAGGAAAGGGGAGGAACAGTGCCATCTTGGTGGGAGCACTATCTTTTGTCTTTCTCCAGGTGGCAACGAGTCCTCTAGGGACACAGACAGCAAAACACAGATTACAGCACTCCCTAGATGCTTCAGTCTGCAGAGCAATCAGAGATAAACCACTTTTGCCCAAGAATCAAGGAATCACAGTAAGATGTAAAACAAGTGTTTAGTGACAGTTCTGTTTTACAATCCATGAAGATCTCTTCGCATTGAACAAATTTTTATGGTGCAAAACCTCTGACCAAAGCAACAGAAAATAACAGCTATAATATCAGCATCTGGTATTGCCTTCTTCATTTTTTATTTTTATTTTCATCAATTTGACTCAATTGTTAAGGAATTCATGTTAGCAAAGCTATAAAAGGCTTTTTAGATCCCACTAGCTGTGACCTTTTAAGGCCTGCACTGTATGAGAATAGAATTGGCCAAACCTATTCTAACTAATTAGGGACCATTGTGGAGGGAATATTAATAATTTGGAGCTCTGGTATGATGAGGTGCTTCTACTCTTTAAACAATATATATAATTGTATAATACAATATTTGTGAATTAGTTAGCGTTAGTTAGTTCTCATCTTGCTCAATTTACCCCACGTGCATTTTCAGAAAGCCCCTGATCTACAACATACGAGGTTATTGTCTGACATCTCCTGGGAGAACAAGTGGAGACATAGAATATACATAAGTGAATTGAAAATTAACTGAAAAGGACAGCAACGGAAAAAAGAATTCAAGCTGAAGAGATTTTCTTGCCGCAGGGATCCATCCAGGGGAAAAAAGAAGAATGAAAGTCAAAGAGTGGAAGAAAGAACAATGTTCTAAAAAAAGGTATTTTCTGGTTACTAACCAGCAGAAGAATTTCTAAAAGGCCCATTCAGGTATGTTCTAAAGCTTTTTATGTGATCACGCAGCAGACGGCAAAAACGACATATCTAGGACAAACTAGCATTTGCTGAGCCTTTATAGTATAAACTCCCGCAGCAGACACAATACAACTGATCATTGTTCTGTGTCGTTAGTGCTCAAACCAATTAATTGTTGGTCTGTTCCTCAGGAGACAGTGGTCACCCTTATGTTTTTTAAGTGTCCTGCATAGGTGAGAAGAGAAGATGAACATTATGGCTGTATATATTGCTACAGTGGATATATGGGCACCTGTGGAAAATACCGAAATCAACAATCCAGAAAAGCTAACATGCATCTTTTACCATGTTTTTCAACCTATGTTTCATTGTTTATTTTGCCATTAGCTCAGAGACTGCCAGCCTGAAATGCAGTAACTGCTGCACAGACCATGACAGCAATGTAGCCACTGGCACACATGAGATATCACTGCAGAATCCCATATCTGGTCAGACCAGAGGTGAGGGGGGCAACCACTGATCATCTGGTACCAGGACATGATGCGAACACAAGAAAATTGATTTGATTTCCTGTCCCTCTTCATCTAGACAGTTTAATGATATTTTCAGCAGCAGCTAACATTTTGTTTCAAAATAGAATGTAAATGTTATATTAGGAGGAACACAATTCTGGTATTTCTGTAACAATGTAAAAGATACTTAAAATGCAAGCATTTCCCCATTTGTAAATTAGTTTAACCTTGCATTAATATTTGCAACTGTCTGTTGACAATTGGCTTCAAATTACAAAGATGTTTATCCTGATTAAAATAAGAATTCTGTTTACAAGAAAAAAAATCACTGAAACGTCTGCACCAGTCCATCAAGGATCAATTTGTGCAACTGAAACATGAAATCACGTATGTCAAATGTCCATTCAATTAAGAAAACAAATTCAAACTAATGCCACTGCTGAAGATGATTATCCAAGCTTTTGGAGAGAATTGTATTATTATAACCATTATTTAGTACACTAGCTCTTACAGGTATCATTCTAAAATGGAGTCCTCTATTTCCTGTGGGGGAAACAGAGCCAGAAAGAGTTGAAGCAATTTGCCAGACACCACACAATGACTTGATGTATAGGCTGAAGAAAGACATTATTCTGACTCCTGTCAAGTGCTCCATCCACTTGACTACACAATCTCTACACTTGAAATATACTTGCTAATTCCTGAACAAGAACTACACAGTTCTCACTGTACATTTAAGTAATACATGTTTCCCTTAGCTTGCTATGGAAACCAAAGAGTTGTCCTACTGAAACCATGACAGAATGCACATCACGACTCTGCACAAGCACCAATCAAACATACATCAAGAAGTAACAGCCTTGCATCCTCTCTGTGCAGCTTCACCCCCAGCATGTCCAAAGGCCTCTCATTATCCCAGCGTAACCCTGGCATGAACATGCATGTAATTCTGAACAGATTGAAACAGGATAATAGAGGGTTAAATTGTCTTTCCTAAAGCCGTTTTCCACATAAACCTAACCAATGCATACAAAAGGGCCTAAGGAATCAA